GGGGGGGGAGGAAAGAGACTGATAGTGGTACAAAAGAAACAGACTGAAGCCTGGATTACACCAGGCGTTCTTTTTGCTAGGAAAATGAGCAATTATAGCGAAATGAGCGAATTCCAGATTGCATCATCACATTGAAAGCCAGATAGTCATAGTCATGAGCTGTTCAGAAAACAGAAATGCACCGAAATCACACCAAAGGAGAACCAAAGCAACAAACTGAATTTTAAATGAAAGCTCTCTCTCTCGCCACCGTCAACATTGTGTTTGAAGTCCTTCCTCCTACTGGTGCTCAGCGCCCAGGCTATGATCATATAGCTCCTGTACTAGCCTATCCTAATGACGAAGCAACCAGATGACGTCAGCAGCAGCAACCAAAGTACATGCAGATGTCGCTCATGCAGACCTCCAGGACAACCGGGTGCATGCCCTCCCGTCCACTCTCACTCGCCCTATGTCTGGTCACCCCCATCCTCACTCCCAGCTTCTCCTCCACTTCCAAAGACAGCCACCACCTCCACTGGAGAAGCGCACTCAAGCCCGGCTATGGCTGGCCGTGAGCGCTGCACTGCTCTCGTGAAGCGCTCTTCTTCCCCAAGCGCCCGCATGTGCCCAGATACCTTGTGCTAGCAGCCACAAGCGCTCAGTCTTGCAGCACTGCCGCGTTGCACACAAGTGCCCGAATACCTGAATGCGAGGCGAGCTCTTTCCTAAATGGCAAGTGCTTGCCTCACTTGCTGCCTGGGCCTCCCGACTGCATGCCCAGTAGGTTCACATTGAGTCCAGAGGGTCTGCCGTCTGCGCCCAGGCCCGAATCAGACAGTGGCCAGGACCGAAACAGTTTGGGGCGCCCCAACCACCGGACGTGCATGAGCTGTTTCCTCCGTCATGATTGGCAGAGAGGCCAGCTTCCACTGAAAGGCCAGAAGAGCCTCGAAGGCTCATGGAAGATTTTGATGCTCGCGCACAGGATACATGCAACCAATTGGCGCCTGGCAACACCTTCGCCTGCAATTTTGCAATCTTCAGGTCTCATTGCGATACAGGGGCCAGCGTTCACTTTGGGGCCTAGGGCGGGCACAAGGCTTGTAACAGGGAGGCATCGTATCGGTTCCAATTTTAACCGATGTCCCAAAGAACCCAGGCGATAATTTCCTTTGTTTCCTGTGAACAACATTTTTGGTGCCGAAAAAAAAAGGAAAAAAAAAAGGAAAAAAACTTAAAAAAAGGGAAAACAAAATATAGGTGCGCCCCACAGCAACTTGGCTTGTTTGCAGATATGAACCCACGAAAAAAGAAAGATTGAAATCCCTCATACCTAGGCTGAGGTCCCACTAGCAAAGAGGATAGGATGAACCTCCTGAATCTGGGCTTGGTTTAAGGGGAGATACAGAAAAGCAGCTCAATCTCGTTTTCCTGCACCTCTCCGCAAACACGTCCAGATTCAGACATTCGATCCAATCCTCTTTGCTAGTGGGACCACGCCCCTGCATGTCCTACTGGTAAGTCATCGTGTCCTTCACCTTCATCCTTGAAGCTCAGAAAAAGCAAATGCAGGTACAAAAAAAA